ATTTTGGCATAGTTTAACACTCCTAGTTTATACTGAATTGTATAGCTTAATCTCCTGTTTCCTGTAGTCATATTTTCCAGGGTATTTTTTTTTAAACAAATAGTTTTAAGCACCGATACCGACACGTTTATACAGAGTTGCACCGATACCGAATGTGTGTCGGCTGAGTCAAAGAAAGTGTATGTAAAGTAGGAAAGGCTCCATAGACGTAATGTGACTGTCGAACCTGTTTGAACTTCGACATCAGCTTCGAGCTTTGGTGCGTTTTGGCAACAGATATTTCACGCATGCACAAAATAATTATGGCAGGTGTGTCTAGACCTTTATCCGGGCTAAAAATAGCATTCAGTATTGAAAGTTAACCTGTGTCCTTCACGTATGAGATGCAGGTAACTTTTTTGAGACCAAATTTAGGAAAAAAAGTGTGTCTTATATGCCGTCAAATGCGTTATATTTAAGGCAGTTGGTCTTTTTAATCAATTTGGAGTAGTCTTGTATTTGTGTTGAAATATGATCGCTTCTTCCAGTGCCGATTAAGTTCACAAGCACATATTGAGTTAAATTCGAGATCATTCCAAAATTACATAACACTGCTTGAAAAAGATAACTAAAACTAATATTGACACCAATCATAGCTTAGAATACTCTCTGTACCTACAAAGTATAAATACTGACTCATGAGCACTATGCTTCCCTTTCTTCCCTGACTTCTGCCATGCAAACAACTTCAAGCTGCTTGTGCTTCTCTCCCTGAAATGACATCGTAGCTTTTTATCTGTGTATATAAAAATTATTTGTATTCAAATATGATCAAAAAGTAATTTATCTGCCAAAGAAATAATTTTTGATGTGATCCTAAAAATAAAGATAGTGATTCGCTGAAATAAGTTTTGTCAGCATCTTATTCCTGCCTTTTGTATGATTGGTTCATATATTTAAACTTTAAAATATAATCTGCCTTATCCACACAGCCTTATTCACCCAGCCGTATCTACAGCTAGAAGTTAAAAGTATCGGATTCATGACTGTGCACTTAGTATATTACATATATCACTATTTATTAATAAAAACCATTAACATTTAGAAAACAATAAAAAAGAAGTAATTTTAAAATGGCTAATGTTGCATGTTAAAATGTAAGAATTGTTATATGCACAGGTACCAGACTTTAGTGCAAAACCTTTAGTGACATTTAGTAAGGTTTGGAGTTTGAAACATATGCCATTCTACAAGAAGTGCACGGAAAGTATTTGTGTGGATGGAACACAGTTAAGTTGCATTGCTAAATTTGTCAAAGCTCCTTCCTGTCCCCTATTTCGTATCATGAATTTTTATATAATGTATTTAATATTTTAAAACAGTTTTATATCTCTTTCAGTTTAATGTTTATCTTTTAAACACGGGGAAGCATTAATAACACGTATAAGCTTTGCTTTTAAAGTTTAATTTTTCTAATATTATATATGAACGAAGCATACAAAAGTGCTTTTTAATTTGGAGTATAAAACCCGATATTCGGTAAAGGGTGCAAGAAACATTATCGGTCCATCATTTGCCAACCTAACACATGAAAAATAGTAGCTGTTTAAAAAAAATGGTGGGGCACTGAAAATTGCATAAAACAGCAACAAATTAGCAAAATTAGAAGTGCAAGAAACATCCATACTGAAACAGTAAAAATTACTTAAAACATACATGCATAACAAAACATAAAGTTTCATAAACAGTAACAAATTAACTAAATTAAAAATGCAACAGACATCCACAATAAAAACTACTTTCTTATTCCATGTTCACAGCAACCTATTTTAACTTAAAAAAAAAAAAAAAAAAAGAGAGAGAGAGAGAGAGAGAGAACAGCAGAATTCTTGGCACTGCAGAGCAAACTGGGACTGCTGTCCATGTTCATATTAAGCTATTTTAACTTGATAAAAAATCTGATGTGTACACCACATAATTTCCTAGTATGGAATATTAAATTATACGCATTTTTTTTTTTTTTTTTTTTGCATTTCATTTAAATTTATTGGATTGAATTAAATCTACTTTGCCGACAGCGCATAAACCACAATAGAATAAATGCATTCTTTAAAATTCACTCTAGTATTTGTTTACCATACAAACATAGCAGTTCACTTAACAGTATTAATAATTATATAACAGTTAAGTTATATACAATCAAAAGTCGTTAATTCGGACACCCATAATCCGGACCTCAAAGCTAAAAACTTTCTGCGCATGCGCCGCGTTGGCACATGCGCACAGGCATTTTACGCGTGCGCGCAAGACCTTGACTACTACGCATATGCGTGTGCGCAAGTGCAGAATACGTTTTTGCCTGTGCGTTTAATGTATAACGGACGGTGTAAGCTAAAATTATCTAATTATCTATTTCACTTAATGTTAATGATTGCGTTGTTCCTTAATCTTCGAATTGGATCCCGCTTATTATTTTTTGCAGACTGTAAGAGCAATTTTATAAAAGTAAACTTGAACTTTCGATTATGTCAAATAGAATTTCCGATGCTGGAACTTCCAAAGGATCTACAAAACGAAAGTATGTTTCGATGTCCAACAAACAAAAAGTGGAATTGCTGCAAAAAATGGATAAAGACATGAAGAATGTGACAGAGAGGTTAGTGAAAACGAAAAAATTTCGATTGACAAGTTAGTCAGTATTCTCGTCACAGCAATTAACGGGACTTGAACAGCGGAACTTTGTAACTGAACAAGAAATTATGTCTGTTTATAGAATTAAAGAGAAAGTATTATCACATAAAATGAAGCAACTTAAACAACTTACATTGAAAGAAATGTTTAATAAAGTAAACAAATAAATATTAAGCTTTTTTTTGTGTAAATTTTGATACCCTTTAGATCATAATTGTTCTTTATTTCATAAATTACGGTTTCATATTTTTAATTTTAGAATTTCTGCATGCCATCTTATGAGATTTAAACTGATGATCTATAATCCGGAATCGCTGAAGTCCCGACGAGTCCGGATTAACGACTTTTGACTGTAATAATTTCATAGTGGAAACTAAGTTAACTGTTATATAATCTAATAATTATATAAGAGTTAACTTATATATTTCGTTCATATTATAACTTATAATGCACAAAATTTATATCATTAAAAGAATAGACTTATCTAATCGTTGCCACATGTTCTATTCAAATACTATAATAAAGCTAGAATGATGTATAAAAGAAATTAAGCAAAAAAAAAAAAAAAAAGAAGAAGAAGAAAAAAAAAAAGAAAAAGAAAAAAAAAAAAAAAAAAAAAAAAAAGAAAAGAAACAGTTTTTCACAAACGATTGAGTATTTCTCATTTAATTAATTCAGTTCTCACTTTGCGAGAAGGCAAAAATACATAAAAACTCAAAATATCTATATTAAAAATTACGAAGTAAATCTCAAACACTTATTTCCTCGAAAAAATTCCAGAAAGAATTAAGCATGATTTAATTGGCAATAATAAATGAATGCGTTATCTTTGTTGTTACGAAGCTAAGATTCTCTAGATTGGCAACAAATCCACTAGTCTCCTGTTTCAAATGTAAACATGAATGGCCGCCATAAAGAAAGGCTTAGTGGCACTTAGACAACTTTAAAATTGCTTATAATTCTAAAAATATTGCACACAGATTTACTAAAGGCATAAAAACCTTAACCGGAAGATAAAATCAACATAATATAATCATTTTTAAAGCAAAAAAAATGTACAATTTACAAACATATCTGGGTAAAGAAGCTGAGATCACTGAGCCGTGTCACAGAGTGGATATATATATGGAATATATTTATATATGTTTGGTGTGGCCGATTGCGACCAAAATACGAGGTGCACATCTACATGTTATAGCAGTCCTATATAGAAAATTTCAACCTTCTGAGGCTACTCGTTTTTGAGTTATGCGAGATATGTACATACGCACGTACGTACATACGTTCGTACAGACGCCACGAAAAATTCTCTTCAGAATTAATTTAAAGCAGTTTTATAATTTTTTTAAAGAAAAGAGTATTTTATTCTGTCCTTACGTACAGATATCACGCAAAAACATCATTAAATTGCATTCGATAGTGGTCAAAATGGATATTTTCGTTGAAATATGCTGCCTGAATCTTTTCGCGATTACAATACTTCCTTTTTACTTCGTACAAGGAAGTAAAAATCAAACTGCAGAATTCTCTTCTGAGAAGTTTGCTCTGCTCTTCATGTGCACATCAACCTGTTTTAATTTAAAAAAAAAAAAAAAAAAAACAGAGAATTGCTATTTGGGAAAACCAATTTTTTACATTCTCCTTTTTCCATATTAGACACACATACCTCTCATAGATAGTTGCATCAGTCAGTAGTTGTGTTCCAAGACATATTGAGACAATAAGAACTATAAGTTTGACAAAGCTTACCAGATGTATATTCTTTGGACCTGCAATAAATAATGTGAGCAGTTGTCATAATCGATATTCCTGAAAGGTGTAAGCAAGGGCAGGAGTTCGTCTCTGATGTTCTGTTATAAACGATATTCAACTTTCAAAATAACTCCAGTCCAGTGTTATGTCTGGCACAATGCACACACAACCATTAGCAGGCTACCATGTAAAATAAGGAACACTGTACTTGATGGGCAGATAACATGGAAGTACCAAATGCTGTAAAAGCTGTACCATGTGTATTAAACCAACACCTCCTAGAACTAACTGAAGGCCACGGCGCGTTTCTCAGGAGGAGGTGTGACGTCAGTGTTAGTAGGGATTGTATTTCATTTAACTCTCCCCACCCAGGACTGTGGTGGGTGGATTTCCGGAGTTTTGACGGTCACTTGGTCAGAAATCGTCCATAAGAACAGTCGACATTTTCTTTCTTTTTTCAGATATTTCTATATTATAAGTATTCCACTTTATTATTTGTTTTTCAAATTTTTGATATGGTTTACACATGCTGTGTACCTAACTGTAAAGGGAACTATCCAAATGGTCCAAAAGTACAGGGTTTTCTCTTTTCCGAAAGAGAAAGAATTCTTAAATAAATGGATAAAGGCGATTCATAGAAGTAATTTCAAGCCAACAAAATTTTCGAAGGTAAGTTGCGGTTTTTTTTTTTTTTTTTTTAATTTTTTTTTTTTTTTTTTTTTTTAATGAATAAGTTTATACTTATCTGTGCTTTAAAAAGTGCTCCTGTGTTAAGTATGTTATAATTATCATAAACTAAAGCGAGTACATACATTTATAGAAAGTAAACATATTTAATCTTATTGTAAGTCTAATAGTGATTATATAAGTATGATGATTTAATCATACTATTAATTTAATTTATAGCAGATAGTACTGTTTATCATCATGCTAATCGTTCAATCTATAGTTCAATTAAATGTAGGATTAATAAATATTCAAAATTGTAAATACATTTTGTATGTTGCAAAATGCTTGCATTTAAATATCTCGATACATTTGTCACAGGAACAGCGTATTTATTAAAATCCGAAGACCTTGAAAAATCTTGATAATATCTCTGTAATTAATACCAATTTTGTTTCTGATGTTAATGCGAAAAAATACGCTATTTAAATTTTTGTGAGTTCATGCCTGATATTCTTAAAATTCACTTAATATAACATAAATCATTAAATATGAAGTTTTACAAAATCTTGTATTTAATTCTAGTGTAGATAATTAAATCCGATTATAACAATCTTTGCATACAAGTGTTTCGTATTTTTTGTAAGTAAATAATTAAATTTATGCAACACTTTATTTGATAAAAGATTTTTCTATCTAATTAGACATTATTCTTCAAAACTAGTACCTGTTTCACTTTATACAATTAATAGATAAGTAGGATTTCCTTTCTATTAGTCGTGAATAAACATTAACTTATATTATTTTAGTGGCCTGCTGCAACGGGCTGACTGCATGGGTGTTTTCCCCATGTGTAACGTATATACGAGCCAGTTTCCCTTAGAAAGTCCTCCATGAAGGCATCCCTCCCCTTAGGCAGATAGCCCTCGAGGCTTTGCCATAATTAAAATAACCTAACCTGTATTATCTTATGCTACAAATTTAATGAAATTTAATAATGTATGCTCAGTTTAAAGCCGAAAAAAACTTAATGTATACAAATTCTTGCTGATAGGTTTGTGCCCTTCATTTTCACCCTGAGGACATTTCAAAATGTAAAGAATTCGTTGATGAAAGGACTGGAAGGAAGGTGACTGCTCCCTTATCGAGGTTACAAATTAAAACGTTTCTGCGATTCCTAGTATTTTTCCCAAACTGCCCAAAATATATTTCAAGGGAATTTATCGTGAGAGAAAGCCCAGATGAATGTCGTAAAAGGCTAGAAAATAAAAATCTTCAGTGGGCTGTAACTGAAAGTATATCTCCCAGTTTCAGGACGAATGAAAAAAAGAAAAATCCTTTTCTTCTTTTTCTGAATTTTTAGATAAGATTGGAAAAGAAAAGCTACCTGGCTTGTGGAACTGTATGAAAAGAGCACGGGAAGCTATTCTTTTTAATTATTGAGCTAACACCATGCCCTGAAATAAATATTTCAGCATTAATAAACGAAAAACTTGAACTTTCAGTTTACATTGGGAAAACTGAACTTAAAAAATTTAATAATTTAACTTTGCCAGCATCTGTTGGCAAATGAGATAAGGTAATTTCTATTTTAAACTTGTAGTCGTATGAATTTAAAGTGATGTGCAGAATTTAAGAATAATTCTGTTGTGAAACTTTAGAAAATATTGAAGAACAATACGATGAAAATAAGCAGAAAGCCATACAATTCATTAGGGAGCAATTAACATTAATTAATACATCCAAAGAAAACTTACGGTATTCTCCAGAGAGTATGATACTATTCAGTATTTTATGTACAATTTCACCCCATGCTTATAAATTTTTAAGGAGTTCTGGGTGTATTTTGGCTCCTCACCCTCGGACAATTCAAAGGTTATGCTCATCTTTGGTAGCTAATTGTATATTTTGTATAGCAGTATGTCGAAGCAATTTTTTTTTTTTCCAAAGAAATCGAATATATTGTCATACATTTATACGCATGCATATACATACGTATGGAAATAAAAATGTATGGCATGATATTTCATAAAGACTACAATTTAAATTCTTTCTAAAGATAGAAATGTAGTCTTTATGAAATATTATGCCATACATTTTTATTTGATGAAATGCAGTCTGTGATAAAAAAAAAGCAATATTTATCGTTCCCCGTTTACAGACAGTTTTGAATAATTCTGAATGACTGCAAAGACAATTTCGATGATTTCTTCTTTCCTCTATCCTTCCTCTTTTTAGTTGACTGATTGAAAACAATCCTTCCTCTTTTTAGTTGACTGATTGAAAATAAGCATATACATATTATCTAAAGTATTTCTGTAAAATTGTTTCGAATTGTAATGTATAATTTAGTGCATCCTAAGGGCATTTATATGTTAGTAATTTATTCGGCAGTAATAAGGCAATGATAGTGTTTTTCATTTGTTGTGTTCAATATCCCAGTTTAGGATTTGTTACATTTGCCTTCCACACAATACTGCTAAACCATGTTATAAAATTTCCCTGTAAAGATCAGAGGTTAGCTATTAGATCTATATCAGACCTCTATCAGAGATTTGATATTTGCCATTTAAAATGCAAAATAATATGCAATTCTCTCTGTGCACGTAATGTCTCAAATAATTATAAAAAACTTATTTAAATCGTTGCAAGCTTAGCGTTATTTGTTTCAAACATGAGTATTTATTATTATTCGGCAACATATGTCAAAAAATAAGATATATTACTTATACTTATCAAAGATGTTTATTAGTCAAGGCATAAATTGTTGTAAGTATAATTAATACGACCCTTGACCAATAAACATCTCTGATTAATTATATTTGTTTTCAACTAATGATTTTATGTTGCTACATGATTCCAGGTAAATTAGCTTCATAATTTAAATCAGTTAGAATTTATCTCAATTTTTTAGGATCTATATCCTGCCTTCATGTCTTAAATTGTCTTTCTGTTTAATTATTGCGTACAAATAAAATTCCGATTCATTAAGTGTGAAGTTCTTTCGTTAACAAGAGTTTCTCAGCGATTTAAATTTAGTAACATCAGTAATAACTTTTAACGGAATTAAAAATTCTAGTTATTCGTATCGAAAACATTCTAAAAATAAAAATCTCGGTTCTTCACATTAATGAAAGCAAGGTATTTTCCAGATTTTATAAACGATGAGAATAAATAAAAAATTTCAGTTTTTAAATAAGCCTGTCAAATGGATATTTAAGAAGGCACCCTTAAAGTTGGCGAGGACGAAAGTATCCCTACTGCAGTGACGTCACGAACTGCGCGCCGTGGCCTTGAGTTAGTTCTAGGTGGTGTTGATTAAACTCAGAAATGATAGACAGTTTTTGTTAAATGCATAAAATTAAATATGAAATTAAATGTGAATTGCATTCTGAATTTTTACAGAGGTATCCAGTTCGCTTGTGCAGTTGCTCCTGGAAAATGATGCTCTGCAACAAGAGAGTGATGCTCGAAATGTAGCCATTGAACAGCTTCTGAAGATGACTGTGAAGATCACTGAAAATGAACTTCGACCCATTCAGATGTCAGTTGTTTTACCCACTGATGATTGTGATGATGAAGTATAAAAACTTTTTCAACCCCAAAAGGAGAGCTTTAACCTGACTTCTTGATGAACAAAATGTACTCATATGTATGTCTCGAAGTTTATTGCAGCTAAGGTTGCATGATTTTTATTTACTGCATTTAAGAGTTATTTATTTTTACATATTTATGGGACTGTTTTAATATATATTTTGTATATATATATATCTACATATATGTAGTTGTGTGTATTAAGATTTATAAATTCTCTGACTGCTTATGATTGGATTTCCATTTAGAATCTGCTGGCACTGATTCTGACTGCTTGATTTTTGCATGTCCCATTTTTTTCTCTTTCAGGTAACGAAAAAGTCTTACATGCTTTATTACCTGTTTCAAATATTATTTTACTTAGCAAATGGCAGCAGTGATTCACTACCTTCTTTTTATTTATTTATATTTTTTAAGAGGTATAAAAATATTTTATTTTTTTTCTAGTTTGCTGTTTTACTAGTTTTCTGATCTAATCTGTTATTATTCTTCTGATTATATGTATATTGATCTAAATTTTTCATCTAAAAAACAGTAAGATATGTATTTTTTAAAATGTGTTATTTTATTAAGTACTTTACTGTCCCAAACACAAGAAAGCTTCAGGTATTTGATATGCATTTTAATGTGCATTTTTATATAAAAAAAGACCTGCTCATATGTACTATTTAATACATTATTTTTCCAACAGGTAGCAACACGGGTCAAATGCCTAATTTTAGTATAAAAGAGCATAAGAATTTTTAATGAAGTTTTCTGATCTGAATTTTTATTATGAATTTTTTTTATTATTATTCTTTTAGTAGTCTGATCTATTTTTTTTTTAAATACAGAACTGAGAAAATATTAAAAGAACTTTTTTGGGAGTATTAAGATAGCTTTATAAGTAAGATTAATCCATATTATTTAATGTTTAAAGAAAAAAAAAAAAAAAAAAAAAAGAGGGGAAAATTGTAGTTATATAAAATGTGAATTTGATATATTGTTGTTACTCTACAAGAAATGTAGTTAAATGGCATTGAAACTAAGTTAGTATTTCCATTTAATGCAAAAGTAGGGGCATAAGCTATATTAATATTTTTTTTAATGTTTACAAGATGAGTATATTTTCAGAAATCCATTTTGTGGGGAGAAAAGTGTGATATTCAGATGAATACATTACATTGTAATTTATGCTATGCATTTAATTTGCTGATATAATCTAAAAAAACATTTTGCTATTGACATGCACCGTTACCCTTTTAATTTTATGTGTATAATATTCTATAATTATTGAATATGATAGCATAAGTTTCAATATCAGAACATAATGCAAGTAATAAGTATAATTTATTTTACAGCAATATTAGTTTTCAAATCCTAGCAATCAGAGGTTTAATTGATATTTCAATTGCAAGTTCAGCTACTATATTATGTACTTAAATAATTAAATATTTCATTTTATATTTTTACTAGTCTTTTATAAGCTGTGTTTCAGTATTAACAATGCATGCAGCTACCACATAAATTTTGAAATGCAAATACATGTTGTTGCATTTAATTGACTCAATATTTTTGTAAAATATTGTTTTAGCTTTATTTTGAGTTGTTATGCATTGTTCAAGAAAGTCTTCATTGATTATTAAAATTGTTTCATTTTTTTCATTTTAGAAAGATTGGTTATTGCAGTGTGTTTATTGTCCTTAATAATACTGGCATAATGAAATGTAAATTTACTAAACAGACACTTCTTGACTTATGTAAAATTTACCTCCTTTGAATCTTATGCTAGTCAGTTTGTACACAAGCAGAAATTTCTCTAAATATTTGTCTAATACTTTGTTTATTAAAATGTCAGTAATCTTCTCTAAAATATGTCCAAATATTATAAATTTAAATATTTAATGCTGCTTGATAAATTTTACAAAGTTTATTGTATTCTCAAATTTATTTTATAATTATGCTTAATAATATTGTATCCTACTTACAGATCTATTTTATTCTTAGGATGGTATTAGTTCAAGCATAAATAATATCTTTAATTCAATTTATTCAATTCCCTCTTGCTGATATGTCCTTAATTCTTTTTCATTAATGGTCCTTAAGAGTACTTAATTTTCACGTGCAGAAATGTGTACGAACCCTGTACCATCTGTTGAGGAAAATAGTAATAAAATGAGAAAAAGCTAAAGTATTAGCATTTTTAAAGCATCTGATAGAATTGGATTGGAATGAATGTCACTGGTGAAGGAAGGTAAATTTTCATGAATAAAAAGCTTCAAAGAAATCCATGAGTTGGTGAAATAAAACTCACAATTAAAGAGAGATGACAGTGAAGTGCTATACAATTTCCTTTCAATAACCTATTCTTAAATGGCCAGTACTGCCTCCTAGGAGGTTTTTGATTACCAAATAGTTCAGAAAAATGACATTATTTATATACATTCATACAGCTATATAAGATGGCACCGTATTTGTAGTGTATTTTGATTCATGTCGCATGATGGATGTCATGCATGAGCTGTATCAGACAATGCAACATTTTTTATTAGTTAACTGCTATTGTGTTCACCTTCTTTTCAATACAGAGAACTGGATCACTGAGCATTAGGCTTTTGTTCTTGGTGGTTATATCAAGAATTCCAACTCTATAATTTTTCATGGGGATACCTCAAATAAAAAGTTATCTAAACACATTATGCCACATTATTAGAATTGAAAGACCAAACCCGGCCTGTTATTTCTGGAGCATGAATCTCCAGATTTTAAGCAAACCTCAAAATTATCTTGTTTTTTGTGTCTGTATGTTTTATTCATGAAAAGTAGGATTAGTATTGCATAAATCAAGGCAAAGCACTTCAGGATTATATGTCTAAGAGGAGGGATGCTTTCATGAAAGACCTTTTTAAAGGAAATAAACTCATATTTATGTTATATATGGGAGGAAAATCATGAAAACTCCAATGCAGCCTGTCTGTGTTCTGAGGTTTGAACTTGGGTCAGATTATCAGTGTTCAGCAGTTTTTATCACTTGGATGCTTGTAGGAATAAAAATTAAGAAAATGAGTATTTGGGGCCTCTGAAACTATGTGATACATTGGCCCTAAAACTGGCTTAATTGGGCTCTTTTGAGTGCATTAGTGTCACCATTATTCCTGGTGATATGTTATGTGTTATGATATGTAATTGACTTCATTGCTTCAACGAATGTGTGGTGCAGTAATGGCAGCCATTTAATGGAGTGATATTCAAATATTGATTAATAAATGGCACTTTTATAACTATTATTTGGCACATAATTGTAAAACAGTTGTTTGCTGATAATGTCATTCGATTAATATACCATGAATAATATATAGAGAGTATGGATTGTCATGTACATGAAATTTTTATTTAGATGCATTTAATTCTTTTTTCTACCTTGTATGAACAAAAGTAGGTATTATAATCACGAAAAATCTAAGATATCAGATTTCAATGAAAATATCAATTGTGACTGTTCCCAATTCCATTTGGATAATTTTTTCTGTGATGTATGAACAAAATAAAGGATTCTTTTTCCAAAATGTATTTAAATTGGATTCAAAAGAGATTTATTCATGATGTTTATATGTACATATATGTGTATCTCACATAACTCTAAAATGGCTAACCATAGAACTTTTAAATGGCTACCCATAGAATTTTGTTTATGGGACTGGTAGTTGGGCACCTCCGTTTTTAATGCAATCGGCAGCATCAAATGCATGTATATATAAATTATAGACCAAAACTAATAAATTAAATTCTGAACTAATATCACAAAGACATGAAAGAAATTAATTTAAAAAAATTCTGTAATAAACACATACACCACTCTCTTACCCAGTCTAAAAGTCCATCCCCAGCCTCTATTTTCCCATCTGTTAGTTGCAGTCATATACTTTCAATTGCCAAAGTGTTTTAAATGATGAAAATATTTATGTTTTGTCAATGTCAAATTAAAAAAAAAAAAAAAAAAAAAAAAAAAAAATCAACAAATAGGGAAACCTAACGTTTAATGCAGTTTCCCGATTCCTGTACTTTTTTAGTATGTTTTGTGCTTCTTATGAAAAAATAAAAGTACAAGAAGTTTGACTCTTGCGTGACGAAAATCGACTCGGAAATCAATTTCAAAATTTTTAATTTTTGATGTCATTTTAAACTTGCCTTGAGGGATCACTTAATTAAATTAGAATAATCGGACAAAATAAGTTTAAATGAAATGCAGCAAAAAGTATGTATAATTTAATAAGTCGTACATTCGCATCAGTTTTTTTTAAAACAGAAATAGCAGGTGTACCAGTTCATATATCACTTTGAAGTGATGGAACTAATGCTTTATATCAACAGTTCCAAAGAGCCTGCACCACTTCCTAGAGAGCATATATTTAGGGCATGTAAAAGAATGTTGTCATTTAGTAAAGTGTAAGACTTTATAATTTAAATTTAATTAATCTGTAATTGCTTAACAAGCTTAGAGATTTTCCAGATCAATGAATGTGTTTCTAAATAATTTTAATATTTGTTTTGTTTTTTAATTGTTATAAATTAAAATGCACAGTACCTGCAGGTAAATTTTAGAATATTTGCAAAATTATTGTGATTAATAAAAGATATTTCTGTATGTGATATACCTGATAATCAATGTGTGATATACTTGGTTTGATATTTTAATATGGTAGATAATAATTATTATTTTCTTTATAGCAGCTTGGAGGTTTGTGTTATGTTGGCTTATTTTATTTTAAAATTAAGTGTAATATAAGTCATGGAGTGGCTGTTATAAATTTGAAATTTTAATATGAATTGCACTTTTTCATGTATCATCATTTTTAGGTAAACTTGCAACAGTATTTTGAAAGCTAGTTATTTTCTCAATTTCCTTGCATTTATTCTTTAAAATCCATTGTTTGTATCTTATTTGAGAAAAAAATTGTTAATTTTTTAATTCACTTTTGTATGTATGTGGTATGTGTATGAAATTTCAAAATAATTTTTTTTATTATGAATGTTTGCAGAGCCATATATTTTCCCTTTTGTAATGTGTTATTTTCAGTTCTTAGTCAAAACTACAAGAATTGAAATATTTATATCAGGTGAACACTTTTGTGTGACCATAGATTGAGCAGTGGAGTGTTAATACTTTTTCATATTTAAAATATAACTAACTATAAGCATTTACCTGTTGATGTAACAAGAGTGTTTAAGTTTATTATTTTTCAGGTTTTAAGTTGTTTATTTCTATCTCTGTTTAAACAGAACTGATTTTTAAAATAATTTGTTTCAAGAAATAAAATTAGTAAATAAATAAAATAATATAATTAGGTGTTTTGGAACTCTTCTAAATTATGTTTCGAATTTTACATAATGCATCATTTATGTCACTTGAGTTTTAACCAGTTTTCAAAATACGTTTTTTCATGTGTGTGCGTGCACATGTGTACATGTATGTGTGTTTATGTAAGATTAATATAGTACCTATATAAAAGAAAAAAGTGGGGATTCTGTGAGGTATTATTGCTTTCAGTTTTGATGAAATCATATCCATGAGAATAGACATTGTTGTTAACTATATTAGATTTTTTTCTTTCTCTTCTATGTTATACTGATGCATTGCCTCTATACATCATAAGTTAATCATTTAAAAAACCAATTTATTCAAATTTCTTAGCAACATTTTGGAAAGAGTGATATTTTATAGTCAAGTGTCATAAATAAAATAGTTTTCTACCATCCTGTAAAATTGATTGAGTGCAAAATTTCTAATGATATTTTTTGTATATTCATCCAGAATTAAACTATTGTAATGGAATTTCATAGTAATTTGTTACTTGCAAACTTGTACATTTTTAAAAATTTTATTTGTATTGTAATGTATATTTTAAATATTTTGATATTCTTTTATTTAAAGCATTTTATGTTATGTGAAGAAATGTTGAAACAATGCCAAAACTTTTTAAAAGTGAAATTCTTTTCTAGGGGAGTTTTAAATTTATTCAAGAGTTAAAGTTCATATAACTATACTTTATTCTTAACAAACGATAAACCTACCTCTTTCTCCTTCCTTTTTTCTTTTTTCTCCTTTTTCCCTCCCATTTTAAAATTTTCCTCTTAACTTCATTCAAATTTTAAGATTTAAATTTCTATTCCTCATTTTTTATTGCAAATATATGTTTTGGAACATTTTGAATTCTTGAATGCTTTGAATGGAAAACTTATTAAAAGCATTGCAGTAAAATGACCCGTGAATGATGCAATAGCGTTTTAAATGCTGTACTAATACATTTAATGAAAGAAGAGTGATGTTTCCAAAATGAATGTGCCACAAAACTGTGTAGAATCATTTTCCTCTTTGTAGTATGTGCTGGCAAATGGTTAAGTTATGAGGTTGTAATTGCATATAAAAATGTAAATATTCTATTTTTAAGTGTAGATCTGGGATTTACAGTTTTCATAAAATAATTTAGCTATTAAAAGTGTATAAATATTCTAAAGCTTTATTTTGCTGTTAACTTTTTCTTAGTTCTATGAGCACTATTTTTCTTAGTGGTTGGCCACTAGTGAACATGCAGTGGCTGATTATTGAATTTGTGTCTTATGAAATGCAAACTGCACTTGTGCCTTCGTTTTGTGAGCTGATTTAAAATTTATTGATTGTTTTACCTCATGTGTTTTATCATGCTATGCATCAGATTGTAAGCTTTTGTTATTTTGAGACATTTTACAGTGGTAAGAATAACTTTTATCATCTGGTAATGAAATTTAATTATTAAACTCATGGGAAAATATGTGTTTATGATGCTTATTTGGATATATTTTTATTCATTGTTATCTATGTGAAAAAAACACAGTTTGTAGTTTACCTTGGCTACCCGAGCTGTAGGGCCGTACATTCATAAAAATACAGCAAAAAGGATAGACATTATATCCAAAATATTACATACAAAATAAAGAATTTCATCAGTTTATATGGTTCAATATTTTTAAGTGTATATTCATATTTCTATAAAAACAAAGAACTCTGTCTCTATAAAAATATGCTATATAAAATCAAAGTGCAAATTTACTAGCATTTTTTTTTTTTCCCTTTGTGTTATTACCCAGGAAATTTTACCAGTTGCCAGTAATAAATTCAAAAATATTGTTTGTTTATGTTTGCATAGCTAAAAATGAGACATTTAAAAAGAAAAGGAAATTATATTTTTGAACTGCACTTAAAATAAATTTGTGAAACAAATATCAAAACTAAATTTGGGGGTCTTTCTGTAATAACTCAGTATAAGAATCAAAGTATCAATCAATTTGTTTATAATACAGTGTATATCTTTAGTTCTCAGTTTTGTTATGAGTATCCTTGTACAAAGTAAATGAAGTATTGTTTAAAAACTATACATATAAGGTTAAACTAAATCTGCTTCAAACTATGCACTGTGGTGTAGTGGCCGAAACCGCTACGCAAATCCTGGGCTGTGACACAGGGTTGAAATGAACACTTTCAAGTTTAATTAATAACATGAATTTTAATAAGATGAAACCTTAACAGTTGCATATCTTGACAATATGGGACTTAGATATATTTACTCTCGTAATTTCAGAATTTTGTTACAGGAAAAATGCTCTAACGCATTTTACCCGAGGAATGATCGTTCTTAGCAGGCTTTGGAACATTGTGGGCTATACTGGCCATCAGCAGGAAATTAATATCCTGCTCTTGCCAGTTCCTGATGTGGTCCCGTGTAGGGTCTGACAGCGAAGAAACCTGAATGGAATTTTCTCTTGTGGAGGTGGAAATGTGTGGTGAGAAAGAGATAAAAGAAGCTCCTTGCTTCTGTGCTGGTACTTCTTAGGTGGATTCCGTTAGCAGAGGCTGAGGGAGGAACATCGGATGACTTGATGTGTAGGATAGCCAATTACGTCAGAGGAGCACTTAAAATGTTGAGAAAATCCAAATTAAATTTGATGATAGAAAGGACGTCAGAAACACTTAACTAAGAAAAACAATGTCACTGCGCATCTTGGTTGTTCCTTGAGATTGTGACTACTTCTTATTGATCGACGAGATCTGAATTCAAGAGATGGGCGGCGAAGGGGCAGAAACATTTGTCTTCAGTCCCAGGATTTCGTAGATAAGAATATCCGTGAAATTAGTGGGATTTTTGTTGATAATATTGTTGTTTATTCTGCTGAGGTAGTCCTGAATGGTATCCATTTTCAAGTTGGAGTGGAGGGTCTTGTTCCGAACATAGTAAGGAGCTTTTGTGATGATTCTTAGCACCTAATTTTGAAGCAGTTGGAGTTTGCCTATCTCGTTTGCTCAGGCCGGGGAAGCATACGTGAAAAATATATTGCCGTATTAAGTTTTCCATTTTTCTTCTTTGAAGTTATTTAACTATTTATGGTTTATTATTTAATGGTTATTTTAAGTTTATTTAACTTTCTTACAAGTTCCATATTTTAATACTAGAAACGTTTAAATATTTATTCTGTTTTCTAGTTACTTTACCTGATGTAGTTTGACATAAATTTAATTTCTAATGCACATTTAATTAATAAATTTATAATTATGAGCGTCTGCAGAATTTTCATAATTAACAAACAACAACACTAATTCAGAAGTCAAACAACAAAAATCAGCGTTATATCTACAAAATTTTCACAGGACTAGTTTCGATGGTACCGAACCACCATCCTCAGCTGCAAAACTGCAAATGAACAAGATAGGAAATAATGATTAGATAAGATAAGAGAGCCTGGACAAGAATAAGCAAGTGGCGCCATCTGTTGGTGAAACCAGAACTAAAACATAATTTTTTTAAAGGCCGAAGGCAAATTTGGATTGGAATTAGGTTCATTAACTAGAACAGAAAGATTTTTATGAATGTGAAATGCCTCTAGAAAATCCATTTCTCCAATGGAAGATGTTTTTTGAATAATTTTGGCAGCGGAAAAATTGAAAGTGTGATTTTCGGACCAACAATGTTGAGCAACAGAGCACTTCTGTGTTTCCTTTTTTCTGACATATGCCTCATGTTCCTTGACGCGAAATTTTAAGGCTCTCTTAGTTTGGCCAATGAAATTAAACCACACTTGGCAAGGAATCCTATAAATACCCCAGGAATTCATATCCGGAATGGGGGGGGTCCTTGAGTTTGGAACTCGGAATTTTATTGATGGGAGAATAAACAACACGAAAGTTAAATTTCTGCAAAATATGTGCAACTTTATAGCTAATTGATGGAAAGAAGGGAATGACAACAGAATTTTTATAATCTCCTAAAACAAGCGTGTGCCTTTTAGTGTGTTGAGATGAGAATTTTTTAACTGCTTGATTAATAATGTTGGGTGAAAAGCCCCTGTCAATATTGCTTTTAAATAATTTAGTTCTTCATCAAGGGCTAGTTTGGAGGAGCAAACTTGAAGAGCACGGAAAACATAGGCATAAAATGAAGCTAACTTTTGTTTAGTCGGATGATATGATTTAAAGTGTGGTGGAAGGCAAACCGATGAAGGTTTACTGTAAACCGTAGTACTGAAGTTGGATGTGTTACGTGTGACCAGAATGTCGAGAAACGGAAGAGAATTGCAAGTCTCAAGTTCAAAAGTGAACTGAATAGCAGGATCAATAGAATTCATTGTTGAAAGAACTTTATTAAATCATCTTTATTACTTCAAACAGGGTAAAAGTATCGTCTACGCAGCGGAACCATGCGGGAAGTTTAAAGTTTCAAACAATTTTGATTCATAATAATGCATGTAGATATCAGCCAGGATGGGACTGAGGGGGCTTCCCATGGCTAATCCCTCAGTTTGCTTGTAATATTTATTTTGAAAAACAAAATGTGTTTGTTTCAAACAGAGTGAGAGAAATTAGCTCATCAGTTTCGATGCAAGAGAAATGAAATTCGCGAAGTCTGGTTTCTAGACATCTTAATGCACCCTTTACTGGGATATTGGTGAATAATGATTTTACATCAAAAGAAACCAGGAGAAATGTTTTTAACCTTTTTTACAAACTCTATTGAATTTTTTATGGTGTAAATGTTATTGTCTAATAGAGTGGAAAATCTAGAAACTAAATATTTAGCTAATGGATACGAGGCAATACCTAAATTTGATACAATAGGGCGGAAAGGAATACCACTTTTATGAATTTTGGGAAGAGCATATAATCTGGCACAATTCGCAACAGATGGGATAAGCGAATGTTTTAAGTTGCTTGAAATGATTTGCGAAGATTTGATCGCAGTTTTTATTTTGGGGACAAGTCCGAAGGTGAAGGATCTTAGGGATCGGATTATATGGTCCTTCGTTAAGAGTTTAGTGACACCATCGATGTAAATGTTCTTATCATGACGAATGTGGCCACCTTTGTCGGTTTTTGAAATGATAATATCGGGTTAGAATGAATTTCGCGCATGTAGCTCTTTCTCTCGCAGTTAGATTTGGTTTCAAAGGTTTATTATTGAATTTCACATTATGAGCGATAAGATGCCTAATCATTCTTTCTGCGAATCTGAAACTTTACTGAACTTGAAATTTTTCGATAGGAGGCCAAAATCTTTGGAATCGAGAGTATTATCAATATTTTTGCATGTATTCAAGTTTCATATGTATGTTGGTCATAATAATTAAATTATTTACAATTTATAGTCAGAGTTCCAAAAAACACATATGATGTTGTTTAATAGATTATGCTAAGCTATTTTTAAATTAAATATAATTTCTGCAAACATTAATGATTACTTTAATGACAAAAATATTTCTAGCAACTTTGATAGGAAAAAATCTTTGCACGCATGAGCTATACTAAATTCCAGTTAGTTAGACATATACTATATGATGTCATTTATAAAAATACAATTAGCATCTTATATTATTAATTATGATAATTTAATTTCCTGCTGAAATTGTCTTATGAAAGATGTTGTAGCAATTGTATTTTACTATACTGTTTAAATCAACCACGTGATTTGCGCATGCGCGCAGCAAAACCTAAAACAGAACTTTTTTTAACTGAACTTTGAAAACTCGTGATGGACGTTTGAGTGAAACATGTAATCCTACTCTTCTGATATATATATTTTAGTTTAGTGATGTGATTGTAAATCAAAAATTCTTATTATCTTAGAAGCCTCTCTCTTTCTGTGAGTAGTGCATCGATGAATGCAAAATAAAAACACTCCCGATACGCCTTTGGATTAGAAAGAAGATCGACTAAAAGGTAAGCCTTTTTACCTTTTATTTTCTAAGAAATTATTATGATTACACATTTTTTGGCATCCCGTACCGCGAATGAAAGCAAATTGTTGATACTTGTTGAATTATTGAATACTAAACAATGACAGAATTCATCGATACATTGAAAAGGAAACGCGGCCACATAAGGGCTGCCGTTACAAAATTAATTGGCTGAATCGAAACTGAATTATCAAAAACAGAAGTGAATGCAGAGGAACTAGAAATTTCCTTAGAACTCTTAAATGAAAAATCGATCGAGTTAAAGCAAATAGATGCCGATATAGAAAAATTAATAGACATAAAGGATCTAGACCAGGAATTAAACGGTGTTGACGAATATCGTGAAAGAATAACTACATTTAAATACAAAGCTAACAAAAAATTGAAAGAAATTAATATAGAACAACAAAAATTTAGTGTGTTAAGAAGCACTGAACAGTTAAGTAAGTATTATAGAAAACATTAAAAGCGAAAATCATAATGTGAAGCTTCCTAAACTTACGATTCCGAAGTTTTATGGCGAGGCGAGAGCTGCGAATGGCTGACATTT